AAAATATCACAATGTTCTAAAAAATATTAGTGGGATTTATTAAAAAAAAGTGATGTTTCATGCCAATGGTATGACAAAACATTCAGTTTATTGTCTAAAACATTCATTAATATACAGTTGTGATGATACCCGAGCACTCGCTAACAGAAACTACAGTATCAGTCACGTGCAAGTGACGTAATATGAATGCGGCGCACACCCGGAAGTAGTCACGACAGTGTGCTGTTGCTATGAATGTGAAGTAGTCGCTAGATGTGACAGTTAGTTAGGGTTTAGTAAATATTTACGTGATGGCTACCACTTACCCGTATATGATCAACTCGTGGTAATAATCTTTAAACAGCGCCCACGGTTACCTATGAGATAAGCTTATGTTTTTGTTGAGTAAAAGTCGAAAGGAACTAGACGTATCAAAACAAGAGCTAATGTTGTGACATCTGAATGTGATTAAAAACCAGCTGTCGCGTTGATACGCTTGTGTCTGGTAAGTCCGCGTAGTTGAAACTAGTTGTTGAAAATACATGGTAATGTAGCATGTCTGTGGTGTGCTAAATTTAGTTATGGATTAGCTAAATAGTTAAATATTAGCTAATGGCCGTAGCTTCAATTCTGTATGAGGAATAGCTACTGTCTGTCAGTCTGTCAGTCTTGTAATTGACTTTAGTGTCAAAGATTGAGACTCTTAATACCAGTTTATTCGTGGAACTCACTAAGTAACGTTGCATGTTACAGTCATCTGTTTAGTTTAGTATAGTGCCGATGTCAAGATGTCTGTGGAACTGGATGTATTTGTTGGAAACACCACCATTATGGACAAAGAAGTGTATCAACTATGGCTGAATGGATATACAGGTAGAGTATTATCCATGAGACCGTAAGTATTGTAATATCTGTTCAGGAATAAGTTAATAATATATTTGTCAATGTGGTCGTCCTCATAGTGAATGATGCAGTGAAGGTGCGGATAGAAGGAGGTGTAATGGAGGAGTGTGAGGCGAGTGCAGAAGTGCTGCTCAGTGACACCATGGACCAGTACAGAACTTTCCAGATGTGCGAGAGACTTTTGCACCACCCAGCTAAACTAGCCAATCAGCTTCTA